TCACAATTTAAAAAAATAAATGAAGGCAGGGCCTCAAACATCTGATGACATTAATGACTGTTTTCCTTCACCACCAGACTCCACAAGGAGCTCTAGAGAAGTACACAAAGGCTTATGGCACCTGTCAACACTTCCAAAGGCCCCGCCTCCCGCTTCAAACTTTCTGTATCCTGACGCCTAGGAAGCAAGAGTCCCCTGCGCCAGTCTGGCCACGGAACTCAGTCATTCAGCAAGTTGTTTTCGACAGACAGGAGGGTCTAGAGGGTCAGGGACTGTGACAGAGAGCAAGGAGGCACCGCGCACCCCTCCCCACACCCCCGAGCTCACAGGCCAGGGACAGACACCCCAAGATAGCACACTGCGGGGCCACACCCACGGTCCTCCGGCTGCGTGTTCCTGAACTGGCGAAGTAAAAACGTATTGATGAAGCGCATTTATCGCTTCATGACTTATTGTCAAGGAAAAAGATCAAAAGGCTACATGGTTCTTTGAATCCAATTCAAGAAGAGGAAGCCATCAAACATCGGTTTTTGGTAAATTGGTCAACCGGGCCAGTTCTGCAAATCCAGTTAATTGATTATTTGACAAATCGGCTTTCAGCAAACTGATTTTCAATGTATTGGACCGCTTCTGCTTGAATCACCTGGACTGAAGACATCTGTCGTCAGTTCAAATGTTGCTCCCTCCTGCCAACCTTCCCCGGCCGGCCAGCATCTCGAGAAAGGTCCCTCCCACCCCCTGCCCCAGCACTCGACCCATTATTTCATTTTTTTCCTCAACAGGGCAAGACGGCCATCCCGACTGTTGCCTTCTGTCTCGGCCCCTGCCAGCGCGGTTCCAGGAAAGCAGGGACCTCCTCCCCGCCCCCGTTGGTGCTACGGGAAGGCATCCTCCGCCCCAGCTCAGGCGCGTCTACCGCTGGAGGCCCACAGCAGACACTCAGAGGAGGTGGGTCCCCACGCTCTGCCTTCATTTGACTTCCTTCTCCTCCCTGTCTGCAGAAGACGGGCTTCCAGAGAAAAGGGTCATGAAAAAGTCTCCTGTGTATTCATCTGGCCCATATGGTAAAGGAAGGGGCTTGAGGGTGTAATAAGATGCAAAGAAATCTTTTTCTCACACACTCTTTCTCTCTCTCACACACACACACACACACACACATTCCCTTTTTCATGCTATACCTGCTTCCCCCCACCCCAGGCTATGCACATAGTAAAAGGCCTCTAGAAGGCTGCTCCTCCTTGGGAAACCTTCCCCCCTAAAAAAGTTAAAGCCCCTTTTTCAGACCCTCTTTGCTAGAGCTAGCTTAACCCCATAGAGCATGACTGACTCCATCCTCAGGACTAGAAAATTATTGGAAGTGCCCTGAAGCGCTTCAGAGGCTCCAGAACTTACAAAACAGGACAAGTGCAACAGCTGAAGCCGGCACCTAAAAATGACACCTGAGCACACTGAAGCCTACCCCAAACCACCTGAAGCACCCTCTTCTGCATCCGCCCCGACACCCAGCTGCACCCCCGGCCCTTTACAACCCAGTAAGAGCTCAAAGCCCCGACCCCTCGGGGCGGACGTAATTCTCCCAGCCTAGCCTCTTCCTCCTTTAGAAAGTAAATAAAACTTTGCTCTCTGCATTTCCGTCTCACGGTGGATTCTTTTACAGCCCTGGTCATAGGCCACCCTACTGCCCCCCACCCCGTTTTATTGTCTGTGGGCTCAATTCAAGATCGCACCCAGATCCTCCGCCCGCGAACATGTCCGTACCCACAGCACTTATCACTGCCCGAAAGTCAGCCCTTGGCGTGCCCCCAGCGAGCTGCTCAGTGGCACTTAATTCTTTCTCGTCTGGTTTCCCAGCCACTCCCAAGAGGTCGGGCTCCGAGTAGCAGATCAGTAAATATTTATGGAAAGATTAAAGACCTCAGGGCGGAGGGATTCAGAATTTGTCTCTTCGTCTATATTGAAAGTCTATACTCGGCATTTCTTCTGGACATTTTGAGCAATTTAAACCTTCCTTTTACTTTTATGAGTGTTCCTTTATTTATTGCATTTATTTGTATTCATGATTCTTTGGGTGTTTTTGTTCCTTCATTTTTTTGGATGTCAAGCAAGAGTTTGAATTTGCTGGGTGGCTCCTTCAAAGTAGGCAAAACCCGCTGTAATAAAGCCGCCCAGCCCTGTTCACTTCTCCTCCACCTGGCAAGGCAGCGTGCTCGCGGCCACTACCCAGGTAAACCCTGCCAGTCCCCGAGGGTTTGTCGCCGCGGGATTCCGCCTGCGCCACCCGGATCTCTTCCCAGAACTCAGGCCGCGAGCCCGCGGGGAGCGCAGGAAGCGGAGGGATCCTGATCTCAGGCACGGACGACATTTAGCTCGCACGCTGATTGGCTGGTGGAGCTCTCGTCCCACATCGTCCGCTGCGCCGGAGGCTGAAGACTCACCAATCGCTAGTCGCTCGGGTGCATGGGCCGCGCCTCTCAGTCCCTACGAAAGGAAAGCCAGAAAACGGCGGGGCCAATGGGAGCTGGGCAGCGGGGCGGGGTCGCCCTTCCACCGTGAGGTCCCCCGCGCACTGTCACCTTTCCAACCTGACGGGTGCAGGGCGAGTCATCCTGCCCCTAGTGCTGGTCTCCCCCAGTCCGGAAACATTCACCCTTGACGTCGCTGAGTCACAGCCTAGAGCTTGGCGCCTGTGGGCCAAAAGGAGGAATTTGCGTTTGGGGCACGGCTCCTCTAATATTTATATGCTCGGATAAGTATACATGGGGCTCCTAGTGAGGACCCGATGCGCTTGGGGGGTGGGAGGGCACCCTACGAAGTGCAGAGGGAAGGAAGTGACAAACAATAAGGGTCACGGAACAGAAAGTGGCTGGACCAGGAAGCGGCCCCTCACAGGACACCAAATATCTGGCCCCTTGATCTTGGACGTCAGCCTCCAGAACTGTACGGAGTTTAAGCTACCCCGCCTGGGGTATTTTTGTTACAGCTGCCCAAACGCACTCTGGCAAGGCCCTTCTTATTGCCTTTTACTGAGGACCCCGGTTCCTCGATCGAAGACAGCGGGGTCCTCATCTGGGCTTCGATGTTCTGCCTGTGGCCGCGTCCCGTGCCCTTGGCCTCTGGAAAACTCCATTTCCGTTCACGACAGAATGGGAGAGAAAACGCCAACAGTCGGGGCCAGACCACGCTGTCCAGACGCTTGTTTTGCCTGACTCCTCAGGCAGGAACAGACAAGATCCTAGTCAAACACGGCCTCTTTGAATAGGGCAACCCAAACCCCCTGAAAGCCAAAAAATGTCCCGAAAAGACCCATTTGAGCTGAGAGTCTCCTGAATGTCTAATAGGCTGCAATGTGTCAATACATTGAGCTTCTACTTCCCTGGCCCGGCTGGAAGCTGGTTTAAATCCCAGCCCTCCAATCCCATGGTTGGTTGTTTCAGCTGTAAAGCAGGTATTTGGACACATGCCTATTAACAATTTTGAGTGGTTACTTTGCAACCATAAAGATCAAGTTCTGGCTAATGTTTATAACTAAGATTTAGCCCTGAGTAAGGTGTGGCTCAGCCGGTTGGGCATCATGCTGCAAAGCTAAAGGTCGCAGGTTGGATCCCGATCAGGGCACGTGCCCAGGTCCCTGGACAGGGCTTATACCAGAGGCAACAACTGACGTACCTCTCGCACTGGATGTCTCTTCCTCTGTTTCTCCCTCCCTTTCCCTTTCTCTAAAAATAAATAAAAATAGGATGATGATAATAATACCCCCATAAAAACGGTTTCAAAGACAAAGAGGCTGTAGGAACTGGACAGGAAACACATACAATCCCTAGCCGACCTGGGCATGGCGCGAATAAACCACGTGTTGGCTGCAAGCAGGACTGTGACAGAGGCAGCTGAGGGGCAGAAGCCGGGGAAGCTAAAAGGAGGCGGGACTGGGGCGGGGTGTCTGGCTCCCATTGCAGGGACGTGCTGTTGTCCCCTCGGCCAGCAGGGCATCGCCGGGTGAGGACTGGGCCCTATGTCATTAATTCCTCTGGGTCCCCACCTTCCACCCCAGCCTGCTCTGTTTCATTCAAACCTTTCTTTTTCGGTGTTTCTTGCAAAAATGATTATTTTAATCCCATGTATTTAATTCACTCGTGATATGGCTCTCCTCTCTCACTCCGGTTCCTAGTTTCTCACCCAGCATGGCCGCCGCGGCTACTAAGTGCTGCCTTCTCTGCCTGCTCGCTCTCCCAGGGCTGGGCCAGCCACGTGGCCTCCAAAGAGCGCCGCGGCGGCGACTAGCCTTCCTCTGTCCCCTGAGGGCTCCTGTGAGGCTCTCGTTGCAATATAAATGTACTCAGGAGCAATACTCTTGGTCATAGTGGATTTAACTTGACTTCCTCTTGTTACATTTGTTCCTGAATGTTTGCTAGGAGAGCCATTTTTAGCACCCACGAAGCATCTCTGGAGTCTCTGGGTTCGGGGTGGGGCTGGAGGGGTGATCATCAAAACCCTCCTAGGGCGGCCTAATTCGCGTATAAAAATACAGGATGCCTGGTTAAACTTCTTTCTATCCTCCCCCAAGGGCATGCTCACTGACAGAGAGAGGGGCAGGGGGGCGGAGAGAGAGGGAGTGAAACATTGATCAGCTGCCTTCCATACACACCCCGACTGTGGACCGAACCTGCAGCTCAGGCACGTGCCCGGACCAGAAACAGAACCTGCGACCTTTGGCGCTCCAACCAACTGGGCCGCGCCGGCCAGGGCGGGGTGCCTGGTTAAATTTGAATTTCGGATAAACAGCCAATACATTTTGAGAGTAAGTACAGCCCATGTGCTATTCGGGACACACGACCTTCTCAGATGGGGAACAGTCTCACGGGGTCACCACCGCATGTCCAAGCTGGGAAGACGCCACACACGCTTGGCTGGAAGCGATGCGACATATTTAAGAAGTCCGTACGACAAAGTTACAATACACGTTTATTAAGCTGTAATTTTCACAGTATTTTAATTCTGTTCTGAAATCAGTCTACAAATATCTCTACATATCACCAAAGCCAGTTATTCAATAAATAACAGGAATGTATCGCTTTGCAAAAAAATAAAAATAAAAAAATAAACAAGCCTTAAACATTTATGTCTATATATGATATTTGTAGAATCAGTTTCTCAAAGCTCATGGGGCTAAACTGCACACGCCACACACATACATACACACGCACCACTATATTCAAATCAGATTTATATTAAGCGTCAAATTAAATGCTATTCATAACCAGGTACACGAAATCTGAATTGAATCGTGAATGCACTGCTGACAATGGGCACCGTACCTCACAAACGCGATCTCCAGTTACGAGGAGGAAGGCTGCTTTGCTGGCTTTGAACTGAGTGCTGATCACCATCACCGTCACAAGGAATCAGTTTAAATTACAGGACTCAGAGGTTTAACACACATGCAGATATTAAATTGACACTAAGACCTTTAAATCTGCAAAAAGACATTGGAACATAGGGTCACTGACGCCCCTCGCTGCCACAGGTGTTCAGTACATGACACAAGTGACAATCAGCTTTGATGCCACCACAAGGGAAAAACTGGTCCTGGTGTGCCTGCTACATGCCAAGCCATCGTTAAAGGGAAGAGGGCAGAGTTCAAGTGCGGACCAAAGTCTGCCTGTCCCAGATGTTGTGCATCCTATCGATGGTTGCCTGACACTAACTCTAAGGGGACTGCGTCAGATCCGGCAGAAAGTATGTAATTCTGTTATTCACAAATGAGGCGCAAAAATCCAACTACTCGGGTGGCCATAAACAAAAACTCTGCAGAACAGTGATCGACTACTACAAAAATGAAGCTGAGGCGGTTGACACCTGGGTGGCCCGGAGTGGGGTTTCTGGGAGAGTCAGCCGCTTCGAAGCCCAGCAAGAAGCAGGTACGGGGCGCCAACCCGTGAGTCGGCTCGACGGCATTCGGCAAAAGCATCTTAAGTAGCAGGGAGCGTGGGAAGGGAGCCATGTAGGATTTTTAGAGTCTGTGCCGGCTATTGGACATGTCATTCCTGATCTCTCCGTCAGGCTGCTGAACCAGGGACAGGTGAACAGCCAAAGCGGCTTGCACGGTCCCCGCAAGCCAGCCCGCGTGGGCGTGCCGAAGCCTCCCAACCATGAGCCCTGGCCTGCGCCGGTGCCCAGCAGGGAGCGCTGGCACGGCCCCCAGGCCCCCTCGCTCCCTGCCTCCCGCGCGTGGGACGGGCTGTGTGTGGCCCTGCGTGGCGTGCTGCGCCCCCCATCCTCAGGAACCTGCGCATGAAAAAAAACCTCCTTTCGAGGGCATTAACCCCTACGTGTCTTCACGTGGTCACCTTTATAAATTAAGACCCCGGCACAATTCACAGGACAAGCTTTCAAGAAATCCTGTTGCTGCAGCTTCGTTCCCGGAAATGACACAGGGTATCCCTGAAACACGAAGCAGAAGACCCCAGGGGGCAGCTAATGCTGACTGGTGTCAGGAAATACATTTAGGGGAGGCTCTGCGCCCTGAAAGCGTCTTGTTCTAGCATGTCAAACAAGAGAACATTCTGAACATCGATCCCAAAACATCCACGTGACTCCAGCACTGAGAGACAGTTGGTCCTTTTTCTTTTCTGGACTAGTTTCTTTTCTTGGTATTTACTGTGATACTGAAGTATCAGGAAGTTAACACTGCTTATTTAAAAAAACTGAGTCTCCCTTAGAACAGATCCACAGCAGTTCTCGCCAGGATGTTTTTATATCACATTTAACGGAGTGTTGCACTAATGTATTCTACAGCCCTGAAGACATAAAAAAGGTTTCTCTTCAAGGTATGAGATATGGTACAAAAATACATTTCTCCACATACAAAAGAGAGAAAAAAGAAAGAGGTATGGGTGGCAGGGGAGGCCAAATGCCCTACAAGCGCCCATGGAATGGAGAAAGAAAAAACCCCCAAACTCTGTGGGGGTTAGGAATATGCCCAAGCAAAAGTCAAGTTTCTGCATTAAGAAGCAAGTCATTCAGCCCTGGCTGGTGTGGCTCAGTGGACTGGGCGCCGGCCTGCGGATCAAAGAGACACCGGTTGGGGCCCAGGCCTGGGTTGCGGGCCAGGTCCCCAGGAGGGGGTGCGAGAGAGGTAACCGCACATGGAGGTTTCCCTTTCTCCCTCCCTTTTCCCTTTTCTAAAATTAAATGAAACCTTTAAAAAAATAAAAAACAAGAATCATTCAGACCTAACATCTAGGACTTGCCCGAGAATTTCAAACAAGGTTCTACCCTGAGGTGATCCTCTGAACGCAGTGCAGGCTCCCTCATGACACAGACAGACAGACATCTCCCACTGGAGAGCATCGCACTGTGCCCACGTGGTAGAAACGGTGTGAATTCTCCACAGCGATTTCCAGTTATGCCGGTGGTTGGTCTGCGGCTCCCTGGATTTTCTGAGAGTTAAGATGGTTTCCCCACCTGGATCTCAAGCCAGCGCAGCGCCCTTCAGGTTTCCCCGTGAGGACGTGCCAGGGAACGCAGTGACCATCACACCCAGGCCGGCGAGAGCCTAAGACTCAAGTCTTGCGCAGGATGCACCAATTCCCCCGGTCAGCACAAGCAAAGCCGTGTTTCAGTCCCTGTGCGAGCCACATGCACACACAGAAACAGGACAAGGGTGGCCTCCCCGAGACCGTCTGTGCCCAGCGCTGAAGCAGATTCACCGGCAAGCATCTAAACGGCGAAGCTGGATGGGCTTCCAGCCAGAAAGCCTGGGTTTCAAGCGCCCACGGACACACACCTGCCCCAGCAAGCCCAAGAGTGAGACCAGTGTAGGCATGTTGGGGTCCCTTGGTGTGCACCTTAAAAAGAGAAGTTTCCTAAGTATCCCCCAGAAACACCTGCTTCCGTTCTCCAGCTCAGACCTCCCAGGAGCACGGCGCTGGGGCTGGCCAGGAACTGAGCTCTCTGCGGCATGACACCTGGACTGCAGGGTCTTGGCTCTGCCCGATCAGACAGGGCAGGGGGCTTGGGCGGGGGCGGCCGGGGCGTGGAGGTGCGCTGGGGCGGGCTGTGGAGACAGTGGGGCCTCTAGCAGCCTTCAAAACTACATCGAGCACCAGCCGGGCTGCCTTCCCGTGTCCTATTTTCTGGGGCAAGCCAATGCGCCTTGAGCGGGGGGGTCCAAGGAGGGGGCGCTCCCACCAGCCCCCGGTCGGAGCCCTGCTTGGCCCTCTCGTCCCCGGCAGAGACTGCCTCAGATGAGGATGCCAGACTGCCACCGGGAAGCCCCTCGCATGTGTACGAGAACATCTCAGGAGCAACAATCCACGTCCTCTCAAAGGCGCGTTTCTGCTGCTTACAGTTCCTGAGATGCTTCATAAGCAGCGCGAGGCCCTCCGAGGTCCTGAGTCAACCAAAGCCAGAGAGCAAGACACACACACAAAAGCCCTGCAGAGCCGCAGACCCTTCCCCTACAGGCCTTGCTGGCAACGCCAGGTGGGAACAGCTGGTTTTGTGAGCGCTCCTGGGCACCCCGCACCCCAGGCAGCTCTTGACAGCAAACCCCAAAGACATTTCTCTCCCGGGTCCTTGAGTTTTTCCTTTACAAAATGTTGGGCTTAACATCCATCCAAGAACAGAGGCAGGGGAAAAAACCTGAGGTTTTCTACAAATCACGGTTTCTTCACTTGGAAACATACCTGACGGGGATGTGACCGGGGTCCCTGCCGCCCAAGAGACAGTCCGTTTCATCCTCGAGCTCAACTGGCTACACTCAGAAGCGACGACGTTCATCGACTCGGCCAACAGCGACCCAAAGCAACATGAAAATAAAGACTCACCTTTCAGGGACGTGAGGAAAACGCACACAGACCTTCCCCGACGATACCTACACTGTGAAAACAAACGCTGAACTTTTCTAAAGTGTCGAATTAGCATATTCTTCCCCCTCTGTGTAAAGTTTTAAGAAACTGGACTCAGATCTGCCTTTATTAAAAAACCTTACAAAAGATGTGTTGAAGTGCTTGAAAAAATTAACTTTATGCTCTATGCAGATAAACTTCTCTCACTGTACAGCTAATAGGGTTATATCCTTTGTTTAAAAAATATCTCTCCCACTAACAACACCTGGCAGGTAGTCCTACTTCACTGAGCGGGTCCTCGCTCTCGGAATGTGTCCTAGGAGTGTACACGTGGCCCGAAACACCCTCACAGAGCGCCACCCCCTTGCTCAGGAACGTTTATTAGGATTGTTTGGGGTTCGCTGCCCTTTTCTTCCTCCTCCTCTTCTGTTTTCTGAGAGAGGGCGCTGGTGTGAGGGGGCCCGGCCGGCCGGCTGGTTGTCACTTGCTGTTGGCGCGGTCAAGGCTTTCCAGCACGCGGCTGAGGCGGATGTTGAGGACTCGGACCTGGTTCTCCAGGTGCTCCAGCTTCTCCTCCACGCTGGGGCCGCCGGGCCCGCCCCGCCAGTAGCAGCCCATGGGCCCGGTCATGAAGTACACGGCCACCACGAAGCACAGGGGCAGCGCCGCGCTCTCCGGCTCCCCCTCGTACTTGTGCAGGATGTACACGCAGGACATGGAGAACAGGAGGACACGCACGATCCAGAAGAAGCGGCCGAACACCACGTGCAGGAAGCCGAACGTGAAGCTCAAGGTCAGAGACAGGAACCAGTAGGCCAGGAGGATGACGCCGACCAGCATGATGGCGCGGGCCGGGCTGCTGGCCACCAAGGCGGGGTTGAAATACTGGGACATGTTCGAGACTGCAGGACAGAAAAGAGGGACAGTGGCCGGTTACAGGGAGTCGGGTTTCGGTACCGGTTGGGCGTGGGCAGCTCAGCGCGCTGGCTGGGCCTTCGCGACAGCCCAAGGAACGGAGCCGCCACCGACCTTCACGCTAGGCCCCGGGAGAAGACAGGGCCAGCCCTTCCGACTGCCTGCCCGATCGTGGGTGTGGGACACCCGTCACCGCAGAGCAGAGCCTGCACACCGCCCTTCCATTTCCTCCCTTCTCGCCTCCTGCAGTAACCAACGCGCACTTTCAGGCTGTCTCTCCCTTGCAGCTGCGCGACTCAGCCGAGGTCAGGGAGAGGGGAGCAGGAACGTTTCTGCGGGGTTTTTCCTAAATGCGGCAGGACTGTGCCCTTTACCTCTTCTTCTTCTGCCTGCTGGAATATGGATGGTAGGAATGGGAGCAGCTGTCTTGGGCCATGAGGGAAGAAAAGTCGCCTACTGGCGAGCAAGAAGATGGAAGGTGCCTCGGTCCTGAGGACAACGGGCTGCAAAGCCACCTACCTTCCTAGCCACCTACCTGTGAACTTTCCCACAAGAGAAATAAGCTTCCATCTTGTTGAAGCTGCTGTTTTGGGGGCGCTTCTTACTCACAGCCAAACCTAAGCATAACTGGTGCCCGCCCATGGAGCTCCACCCTAAGCATGGATGAAACGGAGGAGCTGCATCTTCGGTGGGCCCGACTTACGGACATTTTCAAACAGAGAAGTTAAAAGAAGAGTAAAATCAGGACTCCCGTTGAAACCAGCTAGGCTTCACAATTCTTCCCATTTTGCCGTATGTTGCTCCATGTCTCTAGTCACGCACCCTTTTTTTACCCAACCATTTGAAAGATGCACATGTCACACGCCAGCATGCTCCCCCGCGCCGCCCCGCTTCACGGAGATAGGAATGACCGACAGCACTACGCACGCTCCAGGCGGACGGCACGCTGCCTTACGCACTCTGCGACGGGGGGACCACGGTAAGCTTCTGACACCCCTCATCTCATAGAGACCCAAAAAAGGAAAAAAATTTTTGCTTGTCCTGAGACCTCTTAGGATCGAGTAATCACTTAACAACCTCCCTGTCTATCCCGTAGCTCTGGGTGTGAGAATCATCACGTTGTACCCGATCTCCCGAGTACTTATTTATCGATAGCTGCAAGTCGTACCTTTTGATCACCTTCATCCAATTCCCACGTTCCTTCCCTGCCTCTGGTAACCACAAATCTGATCTCTTTTCCTAAGGGCCTGGGTGTTGTTGGTGTTTTTTCCCTTCAGGTTCCACAGATGAGAGAGACCACACAGCGTGCGTCTCTCTGTCTGGGTCCCCTCACTGAGCACAGAGTGCTCTCAGGGTCCAGCCATGTGGTCAGAAATGGCAGAATTTCCTTCTCTGTATGGCCGAATAGGATTCTGTGGTGTAACGACCACACCTCCTCTAGCCTCTCGTTCATGGACGGTCGCTTCGGTGGCTCCCCTGTCAGGCTGCTGACGACGATGCTGCAGTGACCGCGGGGTGCAGGCATCTCAGACGCGGGTTCTCGCTTCCTTTAGAGACAAAGCCGGAAGCGGAACGGCTGGGTCATGTGGTACTTCCATTTTTAATTTGTTAAGGAAACTCCATACTGTTTTTCACAGTGGCTGCACCAATTTACATTCCCAAAAACAGAGCACAAGGGTTCCCTTCTCTCTGTATCTTCTCGTCTTTTTGAAAAATTGCTGTTCTGACAGGCGTGAGTTTTGATGTGCATTTCCTTGGCGTTTAGTGCCACTGATCAGCACCTTTTCATGTACCTGTTGGCCATTCATTATCTTCTTTGCCAAAAAGTCTATTCTGGCCCTTTACCCATTTTTAATCGAGTTATTTGGGGTTTTTTGCTATTGAGTTGTATGAGTTCTTTACGTATTTTGGAATAGTGTGCAAATACTTTTTCCCTATAATGTAGGCCCTTTTTATTTTGTTGACCATTTCTTTGGCTGTGCAGAAGCTTCTTAGTTGCCTGTAATCCCACCTGTTTATTTTTGCATTTGCGTTTGAGTAGGGGAAGGCTGGGCCCGGGCAACGCAGGGCACAGGCGGCCGTCTGCAGAGAGAACTGGGACCGGGTGGCTCCCGGGACCGCTTGACGGCTTCCTTTTCAGGAGGCAGCCCCTGGGTAACTCCTCTGTGTTTCCTCGGTGTTCACCCCAGGCCCGGCGCCGTTCTGCGGCTCTGCCTGAATTGTCCCGCAGTCCTCATGATATGCTGATAAGACATGTAGCACTTCCCACATGGGGACTCAGGCAGCCGGAACAGGGCAGCTCCGGGGTCGATGGCCTCCGGGGCTCAGAGCAGCTGCCAGCCACCCGGCGCACTGCGCACTGCGAGTCCCAGCTGAGACGCGCTGTCAGACAGGCTGGATTCCGAAGACTGAACGCCCCAAAAACGTAAGACACCTCAATCATCGTTTTCCATGCTGATGACAAGTTTAAAGGACAATATTTTGGATCGGGGTAACTGAAATCTTATTAAAATTAATTTTACCAGTTTCCTTTTTTAATGTGATGAGAACATGTCACATTACATATGTGGCTGGCTTTCTATTTCTGTCAGAACGCTCTGGGCTAAGACGTCTCCATTTTAACAACAGCCTGGAACATTCTGAAGGAGGAAATCAGAGGACCGTGCGCACAGAAAGATGTACCAGAATGTCCAACCTGTGAGCCGTTTCCCGTCAAGCCTCTCACACACTTGAACCTCTAAGCCTAAGACACAGATTGCCAAGGCCTTAGGATGCTTTGGAGCCGATGCCTCAGAGGAAAGGGAAGACGCCGTGACGGGGGGGGGGGGGGGGGGGTCTCCCCTCCGGAATGCGCACGCAGGTGGGCGTTCACTGCTTCGCGGCCCCGCTGTGGAAGCCTCTGATTCTGGTCCTCTCCAGGCACTTAGAAGGCTGTCTCCAGTCCACGTTTTTTCTCCCAAGCTTCATGCAATTTCTGGCAACCAGGTGTGTCCCTGCAGGGCTCACGGCCAGGGACAGACCTGCTGGAAGCTGAGCACTCGGGCAGGTGGAGCACTTGGACTCCGAGTGGGGTTGCGCTCGGTTGCCGCATCTGGGCTCCGCGTTGGCTCAGCCTCGGTCCTCGGGGGCCACTGGCAGCCCCAGAGGCTACAGCCGCACAGCCTCCTCTCAAGGGCCACGCCACCGCCTCTGACTCTGTGCCTGAGCCGAGGGGCCACTGCACCGGCCTAAGGGCTCCTCGGAGGGCGAGCTCAAAGGTCCAAGGCTGCAGACGGTTCCACGGGGCCGAGGGACACACCGGCAGGTGTGAACCGGGGCACCCGCCTGTGCAGCTTTGGGTTCCACCCCCAGCCCGGGGCTCCAGCCTGCAAGGTGGGGTCACGGGCCAGCAGGAGGGCTCCGGAGGCTCCGCAGAGCCAGGGCTGTATCCGTTTCCCGCGCCTGCTGTAGCCAACGGCCAGACTTGGCGGCTTAAGACAGAGTGTTTTCTCTCCCCGCTCTTGAGGCCAGAAGGTGGGAATCAGGGCGGGGTCGGGCTCCCGCTGCAGGCTCTGGGGGCGGCCCCCGCCTTGTGTCATCCTGCCTCTGATGGCTCCTGGCGCCCTTGGCTGGTGGCCACATCCCTCCAGGCTCTGCCTCTATAGTCACAAGCTGTCTTCTCCGGGCGTTTCTTTGTGTCTCTGTGTCCAAACATGCCTCTTCTCGTAAAGACGCCAGACATTGGATTTGGGACCCACTCCAATCCAGGATGACTGCCCCTTAACTTGACCACGTCGGCAAAGACCCTATTCCCAGGTGAGGCCACCTGCACCGAGACGGCCTTTCTGGACGGACGCAGTTTGATCGCAGGAGTGGCAGTGAAGCAGCAGGGCACGGCCCCCCGACCCTGACAGGGCTCCGCTGCGCCGGGGCGGCGCCGGGGCGGACAGTGCAGCCTGGAGGAGGTGGGCACGGCCCCCGCCTCGGGAGCCGAGATTTCAGAGGGGACCGCACCCCTTCAACATGCACAGGCGGTCACAGCAGACCAGTGCCACAAAGCGGGGGTCCCCACCTCCGGGCCACAGACCGTCCCAATAGGAACCACCGCCTGAGCCCCACGCCCTGTTCCCCGCATCCCATAGTGGACAAACCGGCTCCTGGTGCCAAGAAAGGCTGGGCGCTGCTGCCATAGAGAGAACAAAGGGACGGTGTGAGAACCAGCGCCGTCGCTTTACATGGGGTTCTCAGGATGGAGCCCCTGGAGGTGTCACGTACGAGAGACCCAAAGGTGGGAACGACCGACTGCAGACAAAGGGCTGGGGAACCGCTCCTGGCAGAAAACACCTAAAGGGACCCCTGGAAGGTGTGAAGGCAAGACACGTCCACGGACAGGACAGAGGCAGAAGCTGGGGAGACCCTTGGGGCTCACAGTCCTCAGGAAACCCCCGCAATTCCAAGTGCAGCTGGAAGTCACAGGGCAGTTTTAAGGTGAGTGATTTGTTCTGTTTTTTTTTTTAAATTACTCCATGCAATAAAAGTAGTCATAAAAAATCACCCTGGCTGATTGGCTGAGAAGGGACCACAGGCAGCCCAGGAAGGAGCTAGGACACCAGGACGCGTGCAGGGAGGGCGGAGCCGGCCTTGGAGGCCGCCCCCTCCGGCGAGGCCTGCGGGCAAGGCCGGCCTCGGCTGGTGTCCGTGAACAGGGATTTCCAGTGTGACGCTGGGATCTGAGCTTCGTCCCTGTTTCTGGCGCTGGGCTCCTGAAGCCCTTGGAATTTCCCCAGGGATAACAGCAATAAAAGTGCCTTGATCATTCATGACCAAGTTCCTTTGGACCACACCTGAGTTTGTTAATGAGGTGACTTTCAGATACCCCCAAGGGTGGGGGTGGTTGCCAGAGGAACCACCCACGTGCTCGGAGGGCTGGAACATTCCGTCCACCCCGACAGCTGGAAAGGGGAAAGGGGCTGCAGGTGGTATCTGTCCCCAGTGGCCGGTGATCTGGTCAGTCGTGCCCACGTGATGAAGGCTCTGCAACAACCCAGGGCAGGGGCTTCGCAGGGCTCCTGGGGCGGTGCACTGGGGAGCGGGAGCTCGAGCCCTCCTCCCAGACCCCACCCCACGCGTGTCTTCCATCGGGGCTGTTCCTGAGTTACGTCCTGTAATAAGCTGGTAATCTAGTGAGTAAACGGATTTCCTAAGTTTCGCGAGATGATCCAGCAAAGTAATCGAAGTGGAGGAGGGGGTCGTGGGAACCCCTGATCTATAGGTGGTGCGTCAGGAGCCCAGGGCACACCCTGGACTCACAATTGGCACCAGCAGCGGTGGCGTCTCATAGGACAGAGCCCTCAGCCTGTGGCATCTGATGCGTCTGCAGGCAGGTCGTGTCCGAACTGAGCAATATTTGTGGGACAGCGTCCGAGGAGAACCGGGTTACCTGCCTGATGGTGTCGTGTTGGAGAAAGGGCTCCCCCCACTGCCCCATGACAGGGACTCTCTGTGCGGCACTGTTTGCACAAACGGCGTGGTTCAGGCTGACACCTGCTGTCCTTCGGGCAGTCTGGGATTTGGGGAGCTGCCCAGAAGAGGGTACCCTTATGACCAGCCCATGATAACACCAAGTGTCTAACGGGCTTCCCCGGTTGATGACATTCCACGCATGTCACGGCTCATTGCTGGGGAATTAAGCACGTCCCAGGTGACTCGCCCGGGAAAATTCCAGAAGCTGAAGCCTGGCCTCCTCCAGACGTCATCTCCCGTGCCTTCTGCCCTCGCAGATTTTGCTTCATGCCCTTTTACTGGAACACGTACCAGCCGTCCTGGACAGTCGCCGAGCTGGGGGGCTGATCTTGGGGACCCGGACATGCCGCCAGACTTCCTGGAGGGAGAGGCAGCCGCCTGGCCCCCCCAGGCTGTGTCCTTGACGTCCATGGTCCCAGCCGCGGCCTGCTGGTCCCCACAGCAGCCCCTGCTGGTCAAGTCAGCTGTGTCCGGAGGGCGTACGTCCCTCCTTCAGCCCTTCTGATGATTCCGTCAGCGCCTCAATCTCTGAATCGAATCTTTTCTGCTTAAGTAACTGGAGTAGTTTGGAGCGGGTCCCAGAGAGCCCACCCCTGCTCCGCGCAGTTGGCCTGAGGGCAGACACCTCGACCCCACCCTGGCACCTTATCCCAAGTGGCATCTGCGGACCTGGGCTCTGATGGATCCTTTACATCAGCAACTATTCACAGCAGGTGTTTATGCCAATCGGCACTGGCCCCCACGAGGCGTGTCGCGAACCACCCACTGTGGGTACCAGCCACACTTGAAGACCCACTAGAATAAAACAGCGCCTTGAAGGAACACCCCCCACACCTACCGTCAAGTCCAAAAACATCCAAGATCTCTGTCCAAATTTTCCACAGTGTTTCCAGAAACATATCCACACCCAGCACGAACCTCTCGGTCAGCCTGGTCAAGAACTGCAGAAACAAGAGGAAGATCATTACTAACTTGGCCAACGCTGCCTTTGCCCAAGCTCATGGTCAACACGTCAGCAGGAAAACGGAGCTGCCGCTGACCACCAAGAAGAGCCAAGCAGCCCAGGGGACCGAGGAGCTGGCACCAATTGTCCGTGGGCCAAGAACTGAGTGAAATCGGGGCCAACATCCCCTTCTGCAGACTGAGCGATGCACCCATGGGAGACCGCAGCCTCTGCCGGGGAGAGCTGCCTCACTCCCGGTCCGATTGCTCCCAGAACCCTCTGCTCGCCCCTCCGTCAAGGTCTCTGCTTTCCTCTGCCTGATTTCTCTTTTTTATTTTTACTTATTTATTTTTAACTTTTTGCATTCACTTTTCAATTACAGTTGGCATACGTTATGTTAGCTGCAGGTGCACAGCATAGAAATGGGACATCTCTATACCTTACGGGACGATCCCCCCCATAAGCCCAGTGACCCCTCCCCACCCCGCCCCCTCCCGGGTCCACCCATAGTTAGGACAATATTGCTGACTGCATTCCCTATACCGCCCACCCCGTCCCTGGCTCACTCCGTCGAAGCCACGCGTCCCCGGCCCTCACAGACTCCGCGCCCACTGCCACCGCACGGCCTTTGCGCACGCTGTCCCCGCCGTCCCTGCGGCCTCTCCCGCAGCTCACTGCCCTGGCCGCTCCACTCCAGGTACTTCCAGTCGGCCGGGGGCGGGCGTGAGTGCAGACGCGCCAAGCTCCCTGCTACTCATCAGCCAAACTGGGGGCCAGAAAGCCAATCTTCTGGGCCTCACGTCCTTCCTGTAAAACGGGTGCCGGACACAGGCTAGGCTCGGACAAAGGTCGTCACCATTCCTGTCACAGCGTCCCGTCTTCTGTCCTTAACGACACTCTGAAATCATCTCGTCGTATGAATGTTTTACTTTCTCACTCCTGCCCCATGTAGTAGGTGCTCACGGGATTCTTTTTTTTAACTGTTTTATTTCTTTTAAAGATTTTTATTTACCTAGTTTTAGAGACAGAGGATGGCAGAGAGAAAGAGAGGGAGAGAAACATCAATGGGGGGCTGCCTCTCGAGTGCCCCCCACCGGGGACCTGGCCCACAATCCAGGCATGTGCCCTGACTGGGAATAGAACCTGCAACCCTTTGGAGCTCAGGCCGCTGGGCCACACCAGCCGGGGCTGATTGTTTTTTAATGATTTTAAAGTGTACCATCCAGTGGCAGGAAGTACATTGACGACGTTTGCAACCATCGCCTCCGTCTGGTTCCAGAACATCTTCATCCCCCGGAAGGAACCACCGTCTCCGCTGGGCGGTCACTCCCCCGCCCCTCCCCTTAGCGACCACTCATCTGCTCTCTGTGGCTATGGGTCTGCCTGTTCTGGACGTTTTGTGTAAATGAGATCATACAGTACGTGGCCTTTTGTGTCTTTCTTTTCATTTTCAAGGTTCACCTGTGTATGAGAACTTCGCTCCTTTTCATGGCCCAGTTCCTGTTCTACCGCACAGCTAGATTACTGTCGTTTGCCCATCTGCCAGCTGTTAGATATTTAGGTGGTTTTTCCACTTTTTGGCTGACGTGAGAAGTGCTTCTGTGAATGCTTGTGTACACGGTGCTTAATGATTTTGAAGCGAGTTAATGACTATATCACTTTCCTGCCAGACGAATCCCTCTCTTCTATAAACATCTACGACTCACTAGATGCTCACTCAGGGCCCGGTATGGTACATCTGGACCGATCACACTCAACCCCCGATCCATCTCCGGTGCGCAAAGGAGACCGAGCGGTCAAGCGCCAGGCCCAAGGTCCGTGAGAGGCAAAGCCGGGCTGGCGGCCCGTGCCTGTCGGCCAGCGAGTCCCGTGCCCCAAACCAGAAGGTCATGGGTTGATTCTCAACAAGTCCTAGATTAGCAAATAGGGTGTTGCTTTCAACACTCTCAGCCTTCACAACCCACCGAGCAGGTCTGGCTCTAATTAGTAAAGCCAGGCGCGCGGAAAACGACAGTCGCAAGCCAACCCGCTTCCCCTTGCATTAAGATTAACAGGACGATCTCCCACAAGCCTGGCCGGTCCGGGCTATGCTCAGCAGGAAATAAAATAACGTCAGGCCAGCCTCATTCTAGAACCTGCAGGAGTCGAAGACACTGGGAAAGGTCCTGAGGCAGGAAGGCCGTGGGCTCCAGGCCCACGCTGCCTGGGTTCAAATCCCAGATCTGCCCCTCAGCCCTACTTACGGCCAGTCACTTTGCTACCCTGTGCCTCAGTTTCCCCATCTGTCCCTCTGTAAAATGGAAACAGTAGCAGTACCTGCCGCGTCAGATTGTTCTAAGGACTGAGTTATGCTACTGATAAAAGCACTCAGCACATTCTAACCGAACAGCAGGTCGGCATTCCCAGCCTCTCCACTGGGGGCTGCCCCGAGAAAGAGTTCTGGCCTCGGGCCTCGGAGCCCTGGCCGGAGCCCGGCTGTCTTATCGGTGCCAGCTCGGAGGTGCGGCCCTTCAGTAAATACTTTGTATTTCACAGCTGCAGGCCTCAGACTCTCGCACAGACCGGTCGGCCGAGACACGGGTCGCTTCTGCCTATCCTGCTCAAGGAAGTCAGACTTCTTTTCGCTCCAAAACAAGTGGGTTCTGCTTTCACGCCGCTCGGGGCACAGACTCACCTTGTTCACATCCTTCAGGCGCAGGCAGACCGAAGGGCGGCCTGGCCGCGCCAGGGCGGCTGGCGGGGCGCTCTCCCTCTCCGATCCCCCGCCGAGAGCTCCTTTGCGCCAGAACCCCCCCCCCCTGCCCCGGCTCCACAAGAAGGGTCCCCACACTCACGGGAGAGGAGGGCCAGAAGCTAGTCTTCCTAACAAATGAACCTGTCTTTCATTTTGCCCAAAAAGAATGTCCGGCCAGTCTGATTTGGGTTTCCTTGTTCTTCCCCACCGCCCGCTCCCCCCCCCCGCCCCGCCCTTAATCTCAAGTACCAGGAAACATTTTTTAAACCCTGAAAGCCCTTCCAGCCCAGCTCCGCAAGGTTGGCTGTGCCCTGGCCAGGGTATAACTCATAGCAGCTGATAGGACTTCAGCCATTGCTCTCGGCCAGGAGAGCGCCAGCAATTCCCGGTCACGAACTCACAATGGCAGGGATATGGCTGTTTCCATTTAACAGGATGCAGAAACCGAGACCCAAAGCAGGGGGCGCGTGCCTGAAGCCCCCTGGCCTGGAAGTAGGAGGGCTGAACTTGAACCTGGACTTCGCTCCATTCCGAAGCCCCAGGGCTAGCGCAGACAAAGGCACTAATGGGACTAATGGGACGGCAAAACTGTACTCACGGAACCACGTTACCACAGGTAACGGTCCTCATTCACTTCCCCTTTCTGAGGGACTACTGGTGAACTGTGGCCCTAATGGCGGACCCATCCCACCCAGCTCCAGGGGCAAAGTGGGGGCAAAGTGGGGACCAAGCAGGCAGCTGGGAGCGTCCCTGAGCTGCTCCTGAGCTCGCCACACCGTTCCGGGGGTTGCAGGCTGCGACACAGCTCCAAAGTGAACCACACGCTCCAAAGTGAACCACACGCTCCAAGTGGAAGGCCCAACACAGTAGGTACACAGGGGGCTACAGTGCCAGGTGTCCAAAGCAACAGAACAGCCCTCATCGCTCCATTTTTCTTGTAAAGAAAAAAAAAGGCATAAATGTCTTCAAGTTACAAAAAAAGAGAGCCGTAGGATTCCGGGGGAAGTGGGTCAGGTGCAAGGCTAGAGCAGATCTGGGGTGACCGCAGCAGTGTGGGGAGAGGGCGCACGTGGGCACGGCGCCCCAGGGTAGCCAGCACGGTGCCTGGCTCACAGTAGGTGCTCATTCAAACGTTAGAATGAATGAATGAGAGGCGCGGCCGGCGTCAGCGCAGCCCCAGACCGGCCCCGGCCGCGGCGCCCTAGGGGGCAAGGTCCAAGGAGAAGTGCGGCAGGGAGTAGAAGGCGCCCCGAGGCCCTGCGCCCTGGCGCCGCGCCAGAACCCGCCGCCAGACCCCACACTGGCAGGGCAGGCTCCGGGGCGCAGGCTGGGCACCTCCGTCCCGATCACCCCTGTCCCCTACACCCCCTCCCCACGCCCCAGAAGCCGCGCATGGCCCAGGCCAGCCCCGGCGCCAGGTGCGCGGCGGCCGGGGCAAGGTGACCGCGGGCGCGGGCCCAGAGCCCACCTTCTGAGCAACGCGCACATTGTCCTCGCCGAACAGGCTGCTGACGCTCTGCGAGAAGGTGTTGACGGTGCGGCGGTAGCTGTTCTTCTCCGTGCCACCGCGGCCCCGCGCCCCCAGCGCGCCAGGGGCCAGCAGCCCGAGCAGCAGCGGCAGCAGTAGCAATAGCCCGGCCCGGGCCCGGGGCCAGCCCGAGGCGCGCGCGCCCATCCTGGGGCCGGAAGAATGCGAGGTCAGGAAGAAGGGTGAGGGCCGCACGGAGGGACGCCGCGACTCCGGCGGGGACCGCGTAGGCGCGCTGGAGGACCGCGTGCAGCGCCGTTGCCTGCCGCCGCCACTGCGCCACCTGCCCCGCCCCGCGCGCAAAGACGCGATGGCCCTGCCCACTCCTGGCCCCGCCCCCGAGCGCGGGGACCCGCCGACGACCTAGCTGGAGGGGTTGGGACGAGTTTAAGGTCGCTTGGTCTCCCGGCTCCTGCCCTGCTGAAGCCCTCCCTGATCTGGTGGGGTTTCAACCATAAAAGAAAAAATATTGAACTTTTCTATTAAAAGCAACCCATGCCTGGAAAACTCATGACTGCAGTTGATTGGAAACCATGCGTTACTATGTGTATTATATATCATTGAGCTTAATAATGGTGCCCACTAATTGGCCACGGTTGACCATCGAACGGGCGCAAGCTTCGTTCGTTCATTCTGAGTTTAAAACCAAGACGTTGATGGGGAACGGGAAGATGAAGGGGCCCACGTTGTCTTGAACTGGACCCGTCAATCTCGGCAGCAGAAAGTATCGGCTCCGCCTCTAATGGGTTCCTGCCGAAGTACTTTGAGCCATAACCTGATCTGGCCTCCACACCGAAGCAACAGGTGACGGGGAATATTGGGGATGGAGGAAAAAAACAGAAGCAGCAGAAGCCAGATCCAGAACGGGGAGTTCTCTACAGGACCGTAGGTGGCACAAAGCGAGAGTGGGGGGTGATTGATGTTTAAAGACCTAAGGGCCCTAATAACCGAATGCAGTGCAAGGGCTTGTTTACATCCTGAATCAAACAAACCATGTCTCGCCGGACATTTTTTGAGACAACCCTGAAAATAAAACTTATTTTTTCCCAAGCCAGAGTGTGACAAACTGTATCTTATTTTTGAACTTACATTTTTCTGGATTCCTGATGAGGTTTTCATATATTTTTTCGCCATATGTTTTCTCTTCTTTTTAAAAAAATAAACTTTTTTAAAGGTTTTATTTGTTTTCAGAGAGAGAGGAAGGGAGAGAAAAAGAGAAAGAGACAACCATCGATGCGTGGTTGCCTCTCGTGCACCCCAACTGGGGACCTGGGCCACAACCCAGGCCTGTGCCCTGACTGGGAATTGACCCAGGACATTTTGGTTCACAGGCCGGCACTCAATCCACTGAGCCACACCAGCCAGGGCTAAAAGTAAACTTTTTAACTGAAGTACAGCATATAGGAAAATATACAAATCATAAGGTGTCTGTCTATGAATTTAAACAACACAGGTAACCAGCATGCATTTGGAGAAATGGAATGTTGGCAGTTTCCCAGGAAGGCTCCTTTTGTACTTTCCCATTCACTCTAACCCCCACCAAAATTTAGGAGATTCATTTTGCCTGTTTTTGAACTTTATGTAAATGAGATCACAAAATATGACCTTTTCCGATTGACTTTTGTTCATCATATTTATGAGATACATGTTGTGTATACGTCTTTTTTTCCTTGCTGTGTGTAATGCCCACCCTTCCTTCCTTCCTTCCTTCTTTTCTTCCTTCCTTCCTTCCTTCCTTTTTAGAGAGAAGGGAAGGGATGGAGAAAGGGAGAAAAACACCAGCGTGTCCTGACCAGGAAGGGAACCAGCAACTTCTTGTTTAGCAGTATAACACACAGCCAACTGAGCCACCACCGGCCAGGGCTCAAATGCTCTACATGGCTTCTGAAGAGAGTCTTCTGGTTCACGATATTTTAGAAGAAACTATAGGAGAATGTACTATGACCAACTTAGCAATTTAAAAGTGAGCACACTTTATTTAATGAAATGAATATATTTAAAAATACTGGATTGGTAGCATCCTAAGCAATTAAAAACCTATGAACAACTATTTAAATGGATGTATAACCTTTAAACAAGTCCCTATGTATATTGCCCAAATCCTCATGCATCCCTTGGGTGTTCATAGGGTTTTGTTTTCGTTTGGGGCAAGGAGGGGCGTTTATCCAAGTTCGATCACACCCTTCCTTCGCCCGTTCCTGCAGTCCACAACTGTTCATTGCTTGCCTGCTCTGCAGCCAGATCTCATTCTAGAGTCTTCAAATGTTTTTCCTGGGAGTTTCTTAAAATAACGTCATCCTTTCTAAAGTTCTGAACTAACTCCTAGTGCCTTCACCTTTTTGTCTGATATCAAAGGTTTGCTCTTAGCAAGCTAACGCTGTTAACAGGAAAAAAAGGTGACGCGCTATAACCGTTCTGTTCGCAAGATAATTACAGGAGTCAGGAAATGTAGCATCGCCGAGTGTGCTGCAGACAATGTGAGGTGTACTGAGAGTTTAAAGCTAATAGATGACTTCTCCTTCCGTTTCTTCTGTCCCTGGAATGGAAATATTTAGTGCTTTTTTTACTACATAACTAATGTATGTTACAAGAATATCAGAAAATATAAATGAGAAAAAGGAGAGATGTTTGTATTAGGGGCAGGGTTATCTTTTTAAAGGTGACAAAACAGTTCCACTCCTAAAGAGCCAAATTAATATTAGTAAATAACTCAAATTAAGAGACTCAGACTACACCAAGTGAAAACAGCCTCCTTAAAATGGGCCCCGCCCCTCCTCCAGCTCGGCCCCGCCTTTCCACATGGCCCAGCCCCAGCCCCGCCCCCGGCGGCCCGGGTAGCCCCAGCTCTCGCGAGAGCTCAGTCCGGAAGTTTTCTGGCCTCAGCGGTAGTCTGCAAACCCACGTGGGCCGGGCTTCGGGGTGCGCAGCAGGGGACCCCGGCCAGAACTGAGCAGGACCAGGGCGTCATGGGGAGGCTGCGCCGGCGATACAACGTCAAGGGACGCCAGCAGGCGCCCCCCGGCCCTTCGAAGGGTCCCCCAGAGCCGCCCCCCGTGCTGCTGGAACTAGAGGGTAAGGCGTCCCAGGGGCTGGGTTTCGGTAGAAGGGCTACCCAGGGGCTCGCGTCCAGGGCCGGCCGGTGGGGGTGTAGGGCTCCCGGGTAGTGACAGTCTAATTTTACCTGAATTTGAGCAATACTCGGGGTTTCTCTCGCTCAGAGGCCAGCCCAGCGTGGCGAGTTGGGGCAAGAAAGTAAGTTCACTTCAGCCGTCCTGAGGGCGTCGGTTACCTCCCGGCCCTCAAGCTCCGAGCCCAGAACTGCCCGTTCATCGCCAGGCTGCTCGACACTCCTTTTTAGCAGGAGCGCCTGCGAAGTGCCGAGAGCTCCTAGGCCCTGGAGGCGTAACAGAACAGGAGACTCAAGGACACAAACCCTGCCCTGCCGAGCTTAGCTGTCCTGGGAGACAGGCAGGGGGCAAACGCCCAACAGACACGGGCCGTTGTATGGCTGTCAGCGCTAAGGAGATGAACGGGAGGGGCGAATGGGCGGGTTGTGTTGCTTGGGGTGGACGGGGCGCGCGCGGGCGCAGAGAAAGCGGCGTTTGAGTCTGGACCTGAAGGGCTGAGTGGAGATGAAATTTAAAAGTGGGGCGTAGGGTCACCTAGGGCCTCCTGGGCCACAGGGTGGACTGGCTGTGGGGACAGCCCTATTGCTTGCTATTGTCTCATTCTTCTTAAGGACGGCCCCACAGCCTCTCTTGCTGTTTACATAAACGCGGGCAGGGCCTGAGCAGTGAGTGAATCAGAGAACTGGGCGCAGCCCCTGCGGGACACTGCAGAGGGAACCCCAGTGTCAGGTGCCAGGCACAAACCATCCCTCACCAAGGGGCTGCACTCGGTGGAGTCGGGAGCGATGCGGGGGCTGGGGCTGGGCCTGGGCCTGCGTTGTGTGCTTTCAGACTGTGACATTTAAAAATAGACAGGGCACAAATTTGGTACGTCGTGGTAATGTTATGAGAATAGCTTTGATTTTGCAGACCCGCTGAGAGCAGGCCCCCACACTGAGGAAGACACTGTTACAGTGTGTACCCCCTTTTCTCTTCCTCCACACTGGGACGAGGGTGCCCTGGCTCCCAGCAGAGCCAACCCGTGGCAGGTGCTGGCTGGGTGGGTTGAGTGAATGTGAAATGGGCTGGGTCTGCACCCCCATTCCTGTGGGGCGTCAGGGGGCTCCCACGAAGGGCTGGGGGGCCCCGGAGGACACCAGCGTTGAGGGGAACTGTGAATCTGCCAGCATCTCTACTCCCTGGCCCCGGGGCTGAGGGTCAGGCGAACGTGTCCTTTCAGAGAAGGGTGCGTTGAAGGGAGTCGATGCCAGCAATGCCCTCGTCTTGCTGGGGAAGAAGAAAAAGAAGACCAAGGCCCCTCCGCCGTCAAAGAGGAAGAAGCCTCTGACCAAGAAAGAGCGGAAAGCGCTACAGAAAATCTTAGAACAGAAGGAGAAGAAGAGCCAGGTACGCCTGCGCCGTCCGGGTCTGCAGACGGGAGAGGGACGGGAGGGTTTGAGCCCCAGACATGGCAGTGGGGAGACTGAGGAGCCCCGATCCTGAGACCCCACCAGGTCACCTCCGATGCTCTGTCAGGGTCACCGCGCAGGGGGCTGTGACGCCAGCAGGGGACAGTCAGTCTCCCATGAGCCGCGCTGACGCTCATCCCCCAGAGCACTTACTGTTCCGTGTGCCCTTTTAAAAGCCCGCGCAGGACTTATTTCTGCTGTTCTGAACCTTGTTTTTTTCCTCTGTTGATTGGGAAAAGTATGTATAGAGGCACATATAAAATGTCTAACTTCAAGAATAATGAACTTGTGAACTGCTCCCTGAGGGGAGGAAACCAGTGGGCACGGCCTCGCAGGCCGCTTTTGGACCAGGACGGCCTGTCGTGACACAGTGAGGCAGAGAGCGGCGCTCTCCCGCCCCAGACCCCGCCAGGGGGTGCGGAGCAGCCCCAAGCTCCCGCCTCTCGTACGCATCCGTCGGTGTGAGAACGCCACGCGGCATGTGGTTGCGCTGTGACTGTCAGTTTAAAAAGGCCACTGGCGTCCGCCGTGCTGAAGTTTTATGTAGAGTCTCCCACCCCTTTGAGGAGAGGGTTGTGATGCCACCGCACGTCTAACGCTCTTGCCCCTCCCCAGCGCGCACAGATGCTGCAGAAGCTGAGTGAGGTCCAGGTTTCGGAAACAGAGCTGAGGCTCTACTACACCACGTCCAAGCTGGGCACTGGGGACCGCATGTACCACGCCAAAGAGTGAGTCGGTCAACCCCTTCCGAAGCCTATGCAGAGCAAGTGCGAAGGCCCTGGGGCAGGTGGGGTCGTGGCCTCCGACCCACGCTGGAACCTGGAGCTGCTACGGTCTGTCCATCCGAGGGCCTCTGTGGTTGACCTCTGGCTCTCCCGGCAGGAAGGCTGATGAGGTCACAGCCCCAGGTCAGGAGAAGATCAACAGCCTCAGCGGGGCCGGCCGGAAGCGCCGTTTCCAAGAGTCAGAGGGAGAGTCTGAGTCCTCCGTGGAGTCCGAACCCGACGAGGCCCCGGCCGCTGAGCAGGTGGACGCCGGGGCAGGAATGATGGCGCCACCTCTGCCGCCAGCTCAGCCAGGGGACGCGGGGGAGAGCCCGGTGCCCAGTGGCCCGCCCCCTCCTGCCAGGACCCCTGCAGCTCCTTCAGCCCCTCTGGCTGCGGCCTCCTCCCTGGCCAGGCCCCCGGTGAAGCCCGCCATCTTCGTCCCTGTGAACCGCTCCCCGGAAATGCAGGTTTGAGACACCGGTGTCTGTAATGAGAACTCGGGTCGCACAGCGAGGGCTGAAGCGGCAGGGGCGCTGGGAAAGGAGGGAGCGTCCCTTTGACTTGGGCAGGTTGCATCACCTGCGCCATATGTGTCGACCGCACCGGCACAGCCGAGTTCCAGTGTCTCGGGCCACTCTGCACCAGCCAGGCTGCCCCCGGTGACGATGGGTCTTGCTTTCTGAAGGGCCCTGCTTGTGGCTCTGTCCCCTTCCCCAAGGCTCAAGGCTTCCATTCACTGATGGACACACGTGGGGCCCCGTGTCCACGTGCCAGCCGCATGCCGGCCACCACCTTTGTAGATACCGTGCTGCCCGGTGTAGTTTTTGAGCAAAGTCCCCTTGTCCCCTCCGCCGTTCTGTAGGGCCCCCCGCTTCCAGCGCTGACTCCCTCTCTCTGCAGGAAGAGCGCCTGAAGCTCCCGATTCTCTCTGAAGAACAAGCAATCATGGAGGCGGTGGCCGAGCACCCCATCGTCATCGTGTGCGGCGAGACCGGCAGCGGGAAGACCACGCAGGTGCCCCAGTTTCTCTACGAAGCGGGCTACAGCAGGTGGGCCAGGCGGCTGGCGGGACGCGGGCCCCCGGAGTCCTCACGAGCGCGGCCTCCCCATGACCCGGTCCGGGCCCTGCCAGTCACTTGCTCCGTGGCCGGGGCAAGCTGGTTCTGGTCTCTGGGCCTCGCTTCCGGAGCGGTCACAGAGTGTCCTCACACTGACTCTCCAGGGTTGCTCTGTCGATGAAATGGCTCGATTTGTGTAAAGCACTTAGATCGGTCCCTGGCACAAGGAATAGCGTGTCTCCTTTTGTTGGCATTCATGACCCATGTGGTCGGGTCCCCAAGGCCGCCCCAGGCTCAGTGATGGGCTGGGAGGGAGGGCGCAGGGGACTCAGCGTGTCCTCGGGGTCAGGGTCACGCTCCAGCCCAGCACAAGGACGCGAAGCCCAGTCACAGAGGGAAAGGCCCGCGGGGCCACGTCTCGGGAACACGGGCTCCCGGCCGAGTCACCCAGGCCACCTTTACTCCCTCCGGCCACAAGCTGAGGTGTGGTGTGTCCTCCACCGGGGGAGCCCATGAGAGACTGAGCGCCCAGGTGTTATCGGGGGGCTGGTCACCTCGGCCCCCCTCTGCCCAGCTGGTCCCCCAATGCCCGACGCCCCGCAGGACAGCCGGTGTCAGCCTGAACAGTCCCGCACACAGAGCCCCCTTATCCGTCAGGGAGGGGCGGGAACCCTCCCGAGACCCGGGTCCCGGGCGCCAGCCCCGGGCCAGCGTGCCTGCCTCCCGTACAGCCCAGCCCAGCCTCTGTTCCCCAGGCAGGCTCCGTGCCTGGTCCCCATCGCACGACCCTGTCAGGCCATCTCCTTTGAGCTGGCGGGCAGCCCGTTCCCTTTTGCTGCTCAGCGGTGCCGAGGTGCCTGCCTGGTGTGCACGTCCCTGGTCCCCAGCGAGGGCCTCCTCTGTGCAGTGAATCCTGCCTTGGAACTGCATGGGGCTTTGGGACCGACGGCGGCGTGGGGGAGGGGCGAGGCCCTGCTGATGTGTGGCTGCCTCTGTCCCCCAGTGGTGACAGCATCATCGGCGTCACAGAGCCCCGCCGAGTGGCCGCCATGGCCATGTCCCAGCGCGTGGCCAAGGAGATGAACCTGTCGCAGCGGTGAGCGCTCGGCCCCTGCGGGTGCGGCGGGTGGGCCTCTGGCCCTGCCAGGGGTCAGCTGTCCCGGGAGAGCTGAGCAGCGCACGGGCCATCATCCCTGCTGAGGGCCCTGGGTGGGAGCGTCACTTCCGTACCTCAGACGGGTCTCCTCACGTCTTAGGGAAGGTTTTCTGCACGCCCACTGTCGGGGGCTGGGGGCCCGCGTGGAGCCGCAGCCCCAGCCAGCTGGGCCCCTGCGGGACTCACCTGCCCTGTCCCCGCAGGGTCGTCTCCTATCAGATCCGATATGAAGGGAACGTGACCGAAGAGACCAGAATCAAGTTCATGACGGACGGTGTGCTGCTCAAGGAAATCCAGAAGGTGGGTTGCTCGTCTGATCTCTGAAGACAGGCCAGCGAGCGTAGGCGGCGTGGAGTTAGGAAGCCTGTGCGCATGCGAGCAGCTGGCGTGCCAGCGGCTATGGCTATGTGACCTTGGGCGAGTTACTTAGCCTCTCTGGGCCGTAGCGTCTTGACTGGCGAGTGAGCCCCTTCCTCGTGTGACAGTTTTGCGTTACAGCAGCTGTGTAACGCATGAGAGCCCCTTACACAGCGCCCAGCGGGTGTGCACTAAGTGTGAGCCCGAGGTCGCATTGCGGTTGGGTTCGCAGACGTGCGCCTTAGCCACGTGCGCACTGCCCCTCACTGGCCTGTGAGCCCCTGGGCCAGGCTGGGCTGGGTCGCGAGGGTGGCGGCGACTCCCTGCTCTACCTCGCAGGTGGCCGGGGTCTCAGGAAGGTGGCTGTGAGCCTGGTTTGGGGAGCGGCGCCCCCTTTCTGTGCGGCGTGCAGTAGCCCAGGCCCCGCCCTCTGCAGCCCTCAGGCGCCGCACTTGGCAGGTCCAGTCTGATGAACCCCAGCTGCCCTTTTTCTGCCAGGCCCCCGCTCCCCGGGCACTTCGCAGGCGTCCCTGTCACCGAAGCTCCCCCAGGGCCCCGCAGGGTGGGCGCTGCGACCCCGCTGTTCGGGTGAGGGCGCGGAGGCCCCAGCAGGGCGGGGGGGGTTGCAGGCTGGGGTCTGTTCCTGGTGTCAGGCATGTTTGGAGGCGTGACATAACCCCGGGGTGGCTCGGGCCTGGGCTGGCCGGCCTCACGCCACGGCCTCCACCGCCCAGGACTTCCTGCTGCTGAAGTACAAGGTGGTGATCATCGATGAAGCCCACGAGCGCAGTGTCTACACGGACATCCTCATCGGCCTCCTGTCCCGCATAGTGTCACTCCGGGCGAAGGTAGGGCGGGGGGTGGGGAGCCAGAGCCCCTCGTCCCCCGGCCAGTACCCAGGCGGCGGCGGCTGCTGGGACCCGGTCTCCCGGGCCTCGGCGTAGTGGCCTGTACAGGAGGCCTGGGTCCAGCTGTGGCAACTGCCGTCCTTCCCTCCGTCCAGATGTAGAGGCTCCAGCAAGGAGTCCATGGCCGGCCAGGCCCCCCTGGAGTCGGCCTCAGGCCCCCACCAAGTGCTCGGGATCCAGAGATGGGGCCGCCGGCCACTGCTGTGCTCTCGGGTCGGAGCCCGGCACCCCGTGTCCAGCCCGCTGTCAGCCCTCCCCCCTTGCCATCCCCGCCCTCAGTGTAACCTGGCCTGGGGCGGTGGCCGCCCAGCCCCCCTGGGAGCGGCCCGGCGCTGTCTGAGGCTTCCAAACGCAGGACGCTCATCTGACGGGGCAGCCGTGTGCGGCGTGCCGGCCGTCGCGGCCAGGGAGCGGGGCCCCTGGTCTGGCCTCTGCGCTTCCTTCAGAGAGGCTCTGAGCTGGGGCCGAAGGCAGCGGGTGGGGGTGGGGGCTGAGGGGCGTGAGGGGACCCCAGGCTCATGCCACCCTTGCAGCTTAACTTTGGGGACGTAGGGACCCCGCTGAACAGGCCTCCACCCTGGGAGAGGAGATTCTGCTTCCGCTCACTTCTCCGCCCTTTCTGGGGTCTTCGGCAGCCAGCATGGCGGCTGGGGGCAGGGCCCTGCCCGGTCCTGGGCGGCCGCGGTCCCTGAGCCTGTTGCTCACCCTGCAGAGGCTGAAGCCGCTGAAGCTACTCGTCATGTCGGCCACGCTGAGGGTGGAGGATTTCACGCAGAACCAGCGGCTCTTCCCCAAGCCGCCCCCTGTCATCAAGGTGATGCTCTGGCTGTGGGCGGCAGGGTGGGCAGGGCCCTGTCAGCCTCAACAGCGAGGAGGTGCCCGAGCACCAGAGGGGGACTTCCGGTCGGAGAGTCCAGGACGGGGAGGGACCGAGCCTGGGCTGACGCTCGCCCGTGGGGCGTCCGTCGCAGGTGGAGTCCCGGCAGTTCCCGGTGACGGTGCATTTTAACAAGCGGACGCCGCTGGAGGACTACCCTGGCGAGTGCTTCCGGAAGGTGTGCAAGATTCACCGCATGCTGCCGGCAGGTGCGGCCCCGCCAGGCCTCCCTCCCAGACCCAGGGCGGGCGGGGGCGCTGGCAGCGGGGGCTCGGCCCACCTCCGGGTGGCCCAGGTGGTTGCTTGTCCTTGCCGTGCCTCAGTTTCCTCACTGGTCCCAGAGCGTTCACAGCGCCTGCCCTGCCGAGTCGCACCCAAACTTTTGTGAGGCTGCGGTGACTGACAGGGGTGGCGTTGGTCTGCGTCTGATGGCAGGACAACACGAAGGGCCCCGGCCGGTGTCAGCTGGCACGGGAGCCCGCAGGCACAGGGCAGAGGAACAGGTGTGTCCTCCCGAGTCGCACTCTCGAGCCCCAGGCGCCTTCGCTCCTGCTCGGTCACAGTATCTACCTGGCACTGTTCCTGAAGTTGGCGAGACCTTCCCGCCTCTGCAGATGCCCCTGTTGTGCGTCCCCCATGTGAAATGGGGCCGCGCAGCGCGCGGCTTCCTGTGTCTGCTGCTCACACTCGGCGTCATGCCCTCCGGGGTCACTTGCATGGTGCGCGTGTCAGAACTTGGGTCCGTCCCGTGGCCGGGTCACATCAGAGTGTGGGAGGACCACGTCCATTTGTCCGTTCACCCGCTGACGGGCACTGGGTCGCGTCCTCCTCTTCAGCTGCCACAGGCGCAGCTGCCGTGAGCAGCTGTGAGCGGGTGTCCTTTGCGTCCCTCCTTCCCGATCTGGCGCCGCCAGGTTGGGCGGTACCTGTGGAGTGCCCGCCCTGGCGCGCTCAGTCCGTGTGGGGGCTGCCGGTGCCCACCCACGTCCCCTGGTTCAGCTCGGCCTCCCGCAGGCGGCATCCTGGTGTTCCTGACGGGGCAGGCCGAGGTGCACGCGCTGTGCCGCAGGCTCCGGAGGGCCTTTCCGCACGCCAGGCCCCGGCTGCCAGGTGAGCGGGAGGCACGTCCCTGTCTGAGAACTGCACCTTTGCCTGCCCGCCCGTCCCCCCAGCAAAGGCCACCAGCCAGTGACCATGCCCCTCACAGTGAGGAGCAGAGTCCTGGCACTGGCCACGGGGTGTCTTCCCTCTCTGATCTGCCCACCTCTTCCAGAAAAGGAAGACCAGGAGGATTCGGCAGAAGAAACGAGGAGGTTTAAGAAGTCTCGGGCGAGGGCGAGGAAGGCTCAGGCGGCGGTAGGTAGAGGGAGGCGGGGGCTCTGAAGCTGCCTCGTCTGTGTGGTGGCTGCCACCTCCCTGCCCCGCCCCCCTCGTGGTTGGCTGTGTAGATAGAAGTTCAATTAAAGAAGTAAAATTAAGCTCCCCCTCCCCAGTCATCAGACTCAGGTCAGGTGCCTGGTGGCCACCGCGGATGCTGGTGACTATACCAGACAGCAGGGGCCTAGTCCCTCTGTACTGCAGGGGGCCTGCTGTTGGAAGGCACTGTCCCAGAGGCCGCGGGGCCAGCGGTGACGTGCAAGACCAAGGCTCCTGTGCTGTGGTCCCGGAGGAAGCTTCCGGGGGCTGGGCCCAGAGTGCCTGAGCCACAGCGTCGTCACGTGGCGGTCACCGACCGCGCCGCGCGTGGCAGCACGCCAGGCCGCGTCCTGCGTTCCTCTCTGCGTTGGCTTACCATCCTGTGGTCCCCAGTTCTTAGATGAAGAAAGTGAAGCAGGAAGAGGTGGTGTGGCTCACAGCGGCAGAGCTGGGCTTGTCCTGGCTTTTCCTGCTCTTGGCAGACGGTGCCACATGGGTCCCCTGCAGCCCGTGGTCCCGGTGTCTTGTTTCCCGTAGACGCTGCCCCAGATCAGCTTGGACAGTTACTCGGTGCTGCCGGTGGGCGAAGGGGACGAGGACAGGGAGGCCGAGGTGGACGACGAGGAGGCGGCCCTGGGCTCCGACCTGGACCTGGACTTGGGGGACGGTGGGGAGGATGCAGGTGCGGCCTCCAGCACACATGCCTGCAGCTCGTGCGCGTAGTGGGTGTCCCTGGGGCCCCAGGCCCTCCGCCCCGCCCTCGCTTGGGGGCCGCAAGCCTCTGATCCTCCCTGGCGCCGGGCTCCGACAGAGCCGGGGCTGCCGGCTGCTCCCAGAAACTGCCTCGCGCCCACCAGGCCCTCCAGGGTGTGGCGTGAGGGTAGTAATGGGCCCCGCGGGCTCAGCATGGCTGAGGGTTTACGCGCCTCAGTGCCCCCCTGGGAGGCGTGTCCGACTCCAGAGGGTGCTTGCTGGAGCCTTCCGTACAGAGGTGGCCCCAGCACCTTCCACATCCCGCCCAGGGCGTCCAGGGCAGCCCGAGGGCACCCAAGCCGGCTGTGGGGCCCGGTTCGAGGAAGAGATTCTACAGCGGGCTGGGCTCTCCCTGTCCGGTCCGGCCGCGGGGCGAGCCGTGGGAGCCTGAGCCCTCCATCGACCCAGGCTTGGCCTCCTCGCCGGTCGGCGGCATGGCTGGCACGGGGGCCTCCCTGGCAGGCGGGCCAGGGTGCGGGCAGAAAGGGGCCGGCTCCTGCCGGGGGCACCGGGCATAGCAGCAGGCCTCTGCCTCCCCTGCAGGCGAGCAGCCGGACGCCTCGCTCCCCCTGCATGTGCTCCCGCTCTACTCGCTGCTGGCCCCGGAGAAGCAAGCCCAGGTAGCGGCCGGGAGCCTCCCGCTGGCAGCGGGGTGGGGGCGGGGCAGGCCCCTGGGCCGAGGGGCCGACTGGTCCGCCCGGTCACCTCCCGGGCGTGCGCAGCCTAGCTGGCGTCTTGGAGGGAGAAACCTGGCTCTGTCCCCACATGATTCTTTCCTGATCTGGGTGGGTTTTTCGTGGCCTCTGCCTGCTACCCTAGGTCTTCCAACCTCCCCCAGAGGGGACCCGACTGTGTGTAGTGGCCACCAACGTGGCTGAGACGTCCCTCACCATCCCGGGCATCAAGTACGTGGTGGACTGTGGGAAAGTCAAGAAGCGGCACTACGACCGAGTGACCGGTGTGTCCTCCTTCCGCATCTCCTGGATCTCCCAGGCCTCAGCAGACCAGCGGGCGGGGCGAGCCGGCCGGACAGAGCCCGGCCACTGCTACAGGTGAGGCCCCTGGGGCCCTTTGCGGGGACGCCAGGGACACTCTGCGGCAGCCGCACCCAGGGAGCAGGAGGAGCGGATCTCTCGTCCCGCTGGGGACTGTCCCCGGGTGCTCCCCAAGCTGCTGAAGCCAGGCCTTTTGCTTCTATGTGGTTCTTTGGTTTTTTATTGTTGGGTTGTAAACGTGGATGTTTGATCCTCCTCGGCGGTGACCTTGGTAAATGTTTATTTCACTCTCTGCACTGTTACTGTATAGTAGCTTTATTGCTGTTGTTTTCAACACTGTTTTAAATTACAAACAAAGCTGAGAAACTGCACCAAAAACACCCGTAAGAAGTAAGTGGTTGAAATGCCCGGCCCTGTGGTAAGGACTCTGCGTGCGACCCCGGAAGTCCTCCCCGGTCCGCACGACGCCGCTGCCAGCTCAGCCCGTCTCACGGGCGAGTCGCGACGCGAGGGCGGGACGGGGCGCACACCCCGGCCTGCGTCACAGCCCACGTTGCGTGCCTCGGCCGAGCGTGGCCGGTGTCCGCTTAGGTTTCTGAGTTGCTGGGCCCTGTCCCCTCAGGCTCTATTCCTCCGCCGTGTTCGGGGACTTTGAGCCCTTTCCTCCCCCTGAGATCGCCCGGAGGCCTGTGGAAGACCTGGTCCTTCAGATGAAAGCGCTCAACATCGAAAAGGTCGGCCACAGCCCCCAGCCCTGCCGTTGCGCCACGGTGCCGTGTCGGGGGCGCTCTGCTGGGGCGGCCCCAGCCCCTCGTGCGCTGGCTCCCCGTCGCCGTGGCCCGGGAGCCGAGCCCGGGGTCGTGCCCAGCCACGGGGAGCAGGCAGACGGAAGGGCCCGGCCCCCACGGCACTGTCCTGGTAGTCAGAGTAGCCTATCCACTGAGTCCTCAGTGCAGGGGACGGGACCACGTGCCTCCCCCCACTCCAGCAGAGGTGGAGCAGCCCGAGAGAGGAACCCCGTACCCAAAGGCACCCCTATCCTTTAGGACTCACTCCCCATCCACCCTTCCCTGGCTCCAGGTGATCGCTGGTCGACATGCGTGGTGCTTGGGACAGGCCCGGCCTTGCTCTCTCTCGCGGCCACTGCTCGCTCGCGCCGTTGGTGGCCATCTCCTACCTGTGTCCCCGCCTCCAGGTGGTCAACTTCCCCTTCCCGACCCCTCCGTCCGTGGAGGCCCTCATGGCCGCTGAGGAGCTGCTGATTGCGCTGGGGGCCCTGCAGGCGCCCCACAAGGCAGAAAGGTAGCGGGGGGAGGGAGAGCCCTGTCCCCGCCATGGCCGCAGCCCGCGTCTGTCCCCAAGCCCACCTGTGCGCGGGCCTCTGTCCTCCAGGATGAAGCAGCTGCAGCACTCCCGGCTGAGCCGCCCCATCACCGCGCTGGGCAGAACCATGGCCACGTTCCCCGTGGCACCCCGCTACGCCAAGATGCTGGCGCTGAGCCGGCAGCACGGCTGCCTGCCCTACGCCATCACCCTCGTGGCCGCCATGACCGTCCGGGAGCTGTTCGAGGAGCTGGACAGGTGGGCTTGCGGCCGGCCAGGGGCCGGCCCCGGCCGAGGGGGCCCCGGGGCTGACGGGGCCTGGAACCCCGCCTGCGGTGGAGAACTGGCTCATCAGGTGGCCGCACGAGGCCCCCGTCCTCCCTGAGCCCGCCGGTGTCCTGGTCACTACAGAATCTGCCTGTCCCTCGGACGATGCTGTGTCAGGGCTCCGTGGCATGAGGGCTGAGAGCCCCGAGCCTGGGCCAGGCCACCGGGGTTCAGATCTCCCCCTGCCACTTCCGAGCTGTGTGACCCTGGAACGGTGGCCTCGCCTCTCTGCGCCTCACCTTCCCCATCTGGACAGTGGGGGCGAGGTGTTAGTAACTGAGTTGTGAGGGTTAAATTAGATACTACAAGTGAAGGGCCACAGACAAGGCCAGACCCCGACCCGGGTGCCAGCGGCTGCCCTCGGGTCCAGGAGCCGCGAGAGCGGTGCGCTCCCTGGGCCACACCTGGCACTGTGTCAACGGTTCCAGGGCTTTCTACTGTTGCTCACAAACGGCGTGGCAGCATATGACATCATTATGTTGCTGTCTGCACGTGTGCTTGCTGGGGTGGACATGGGCCCATTTCTTGTCTTCTTGGGTGCCAGAGGTGACTTTTGAGCCAGAGCCTAAGATCTTAATCATGTCAGTGACCCCACCAGGCAGCATCTCCGTCCCTAAGTCCCTGAGCCTGCTGGATTGGGGCCTGCCCGTCCCCATGGCTGTCGGCCAGGGCAGTAGCCGGGGGGTGTTGTGTTGCAGGCCGGCCGCCAGCGATGAGGAGCTGACCAGGCTGAAGAGCAAGCGGGCCCGGGTAGCCAAGATGAAGAGGGTTTGGGCCGGCCAAGGGGCTTCCCTGAAACTCGGGGACCTCATGGTGCTGCTGGGTGCGTGTCAGGCGTGGGGGGGGGGGGGTGCCGCCGCGGCGGCAGGGGCGGCGAGTGAGCACATCCCTCTTCTGCAGGCGCCGTGGGAGCCTGCGAGTACGTGGGCTGCTCGCCCCAGTTCTGCGAGGCCAATGGGCTGCGGTACAAGGCCATGGTGGAGATCCGGCGTCTGCGGGGCCAGCTGACCACCGCAGGTGTGGCCCAGCGCAAGTCTCGGGGACTCCCCGCGTCCCCTGTCCTCGGGCGGTCCCCGCAGAGGACGTGACCCCTTCCGTGTTGAAAGGTGTTCGGAGCAATGTTTTGCACGTACAGTTGCTCCCCAGTCATTCACCGATTCCCTATTTGCAAATTCACCTACTCACTAAAATTCATTCGTAACCGCAACACCAGTACTCACACCTTGGAGGTCCTTGGGGGACACGCTCACACTCTTCTGTCTTGTTGTTTTCTTGGTGACATCCCTCTCGTCACCCTCTGTCCTGACTCTGGCCTGGACCAGCTGTCCCTGGCTCCTCCCCTCCCACTCCTGGCCTCATCCTGGGCCTCTCTGCTCCCGAGCAGGGCCCGGCCTTGGCTTCTGGGGTGTACAGGGGCCTGCGTGCCTCTGGGCTGTCTCCGGGCTACTGTCCTCACACCTGTGGCAGCGGCTTCATCCTCGACGCCACCTTGGGGGCTGAGCAGGCAGTTGGAGCTTTGATCGCATCTGCTTTCCAGACGGCAGCAGGGCCAGGACTCGGGCTGGCAGAACCCAGAGTGGGCTTTGTCCCCGGGAGCAGGAGGGCCCAGCCGTGGGGCGGGCAGTGGGCTCGGTCTGCCGGGCTCGTCTTCCTGCGGCTCAGTGCGGAGGGGCCGTGGCCAGCAGCTGCGGAGGCGGAGCTCCGCGCGGAGCAGGTGGGGCCTCCCAGGAGGTCAGGGTGCAGCCAGCCCCAGCCCAGGCCCTCACACCCGGCTCCCCTGCAGTGAACGCCGTGTGCCCCGAAGCCGGGCTCTTCGTGGACCCCAAGATGCAACCGCCTTCTGACAGCCAGGTGACTTACCTGCGGCAGATCGTGATGGCCGGCCTGGGGGACCACCTGGCCCGCAAGGTCCAGAGCGAGGACCTGGTAGACGAGAAGTGGAGGAACGCCTACAAGGTCAGGCGCCGGCCAGGGGACGGGCAACGTGGCAGTCGCTGAGCCCGGGCGCCCCTTCCTCCTCACCCTGTCGCACGTCCTGCCGGCCTGGGAGTGGCCAGCACACCTGGGGGGCAGCCGGGGGACCCTGGGGTCTGGGAGGACCTGTCCTCAGCCGTGGTCCCCACCAGGGCACAGGGTGGTGTGTGTGGTGGTCACAGCCTCCTTAGGCATCAGCCTCACCCCAACGGCACCTTCGTAACTGCTTGACTGAGATACAAGTCACATGCCACGCGATTCACTGTTTCAGAGTGTGCCGTTCCGCGGCTTTTAGTCCATTCGTGGAGTTTTGTGCCCGTCCCTAGTCAGTCTTAGAACATTCTCGTCACCCCACTTTCTCTTCACCTCCCGCCCGCGAGTCCACGTTCTGCATCTGGTTTGCTTATTCTGAATATTTGGTGCGAACGGGATTGTACAACACGGGGCCTTGTTCGCCTGGCTTCTCCAGGCCAGCACGACGATTCGGAGGTCCGTGCTGCCGCGTGCCGGTGCGCGGGTCGGTGTCTTCTCACGGCCGGACACCGCTCATCGGACCGTGCGTGTGCACAGCAAGCTCTCCTGCTTCCCCAGCTGGGCACGCAGTAGGGTTCCCGTGGGTTCGTCTCCCCAGGTGCTCACGTCTCCTAGGCTTGGGCCCACCCACCCTCTCTCTGCAGACGCCCCTGCTGGACGACCCCGTCTTCATTCACCCCAGCTCCGTCCTCTTCAGAGAGCTCCCCGACTTCGTGGTCTACCAGGAGATCGTGGAGACCACCAAGATGTACATGAAAGGTAGCAAGCTGGTGGCCGGCCCTGGCCCCACCCGCTGTGGCCCCCGTGAGCAGAGCGCCCGAGCCCCTCCCACGGCAGTGCCGCCTCTGACCCCGCCCCTCCCTCCCGGGCCCAGGCGTCTCGAGCGTGGAGGTCCAGTGGGTCCCGGCCCTGCTGCCTGCCTACTGCCAGTTCGACAAGCCCCTGGAGGAGCCGCCCCCTGCCTACTGCCCCGAGACGGGACGCGTGCTCTGCCACCGAACCAGCCTGTTCTGTGAGTTGGGCGACCCCCCCGAAGGCTTCGGCACACACGTAGTCCCGTGCCCTGCACTAGGAGACGTGTGTGTCTTGGGTGGTGCCGCCCCAGGCCTCCTGTTCCTCTTGTGGGTGGGGTCCAGGGCTCGGTGCTGGGCTGGAGAGTCTGGCGGGGTCCATCCTGGCCCTTCACTGGTTCCTGCCACCAGATCGCGTCGGCTGGCCGCTCCCCGCCGTCCAGGTGGATTTTCCAGAGGGCCTCGACTGCTACAAGCACTTTGCCCGCTTTCTGCTGGAAGGGCAGGTAGGTGCCTGGTGCTTCCCCTCGCCCCTTCCTTGGTGTCGTGGGCTGAGGTGAGCCTGGGACCGCGCCCCATCCTGTGATCTCTGCTCAGGTCTTCCCCGAGCTGGCCGCACATCAGGGCTGTTTGCTGTCCAGCCCCAGCACGATGCTGAAGACGTGGGCCAGGTACAGCCTTTCTGGGGTGCGGCAGGGTGGCAGGCAGTGGCAGAAGCTGCCGTCGGTGTTCTGGGCCACCATGACAAATCGCCTTTAACTAAGAGGAATGAAACAGTAGAAATATGTTCTTTTGTAGTTGTGGAGGCCAGAAATTCAAAATCAAGCTCTCAGTGGGGCTGTGGTTCTTCCAAGGGCTCCAGGGGAGGGTCCTCCTGCCTCTTCCAGCTCCTGGTGGCCCCAGGTGTTCCCTGGCTTGCAGCCACATCGCTTGGATATCTCCACCTCTGTCCTCGCGTGGCTGTCCCCCCTGTCCTCTCATAAGCACAGCGTCATGGGGCTCAGGGCCCACTCCAGTCCAATGCGACCTCATCTTAGTCAATTACATCTCCAAAGACCCTCTTTCCAAATAAGGTCACGTTCTGAGGTTCTGGGTGGAACGGGCTTTTGGGGAGACACTGGTCACCCCAGCATCGAGCTGCTGGGTGCTGGCAGCAGGTTCCCTGCAAGCCTGAGGCCCTGAGGGCCTCCTGCCGCCTGAGCCCAGGCCCGCCTGCGCCCCTCTGCCCCTGCCCCCTCCGCTGCAGCTGCCTTTCTGCTCGCAGCCACCCGAAGAAGACACCTGCCCGCTCCTGAGGCTGGCTTCCCAGGCGGGGTGGGGGGCCTGGAAGCAGGCGGGTGCTCCCAGGGGCCCGGCTGGGGCATGGGGCCAGGCGCCCTGCCAGCAGATGGTCCCACTGGGATACAGGCGCGGCACCATCCCCTTGGGGACGTCTGTAGTGGGAGATGACGAGACAGCACAGCCCATCCAGGTGGCTGCAGAGGTGGCAACGTGGGGTCCATCAGGAGACTGCCTGGGCGGACTGGGGGCAGGCGGGGCTCTGAGCCAAGCAGAAATCTGGAGGAAGGTTCTCGATGGGGTGCGCAGCAGGCAGAAGCAGCATGGGCGGGCAGGTGCTCAGGGATGAGAAGGGCCAGGGCGGGCAGATCAGAGGCAGCAAAGGTGCAAGTGGTGGGGCCTGGGGTCGGAGAGGTAACGGGTCTGGACCCTCTGTCCAGCCAACGTCCCCAGCACGGTGGAGGGCAGGGGACCCTTCACCCGCCCGGGCAGGGCTGGCCTAGCCGTGGCCAGCCTGTGGGCGACGGGATGACCCACACCCGCCCCCCTAGGCTGCAGCCCAGGACGGAGAGTCTCCTGAGAGCCCTCATTGCTGAGAACGCCAACTGCCGAGACGCCTTGCTGGCTGCTTGGAAGAAAAACCCCAAGTGTGAGTTAGCCCGCAGCAGGCCCCCCGGCACGGGGCGGGGGTGGGCGGGACGGGGCCAGCCACGGCAGCCCAGGCGTGGCGGGAGGCAGCTCTGCCTGCAGCGGGTGGCCGGGCACCGAGTGCTTGACACTGTCCTCCTGCCCCTGCAGACCTGCTGGCCGAGTACTGCGAGTGGCTTCCACAGGCCCTGCACGCCGCCGTCGAGAAAGCCTGGCCGCCGGCCTCAGGCTGCTGACCCCGGTGCTGGCCGCAGGGCCGCGGCCTCCTGAGGACCGCCGAGGGGGTGACAGCAGCCTGTTTCCGGCGGGGCCCCTCTGGCCCCTCTGGAAGCCCTCGTTCATCTCTGCCTGATTCTGGTCACGGCTTGCTGCTGTCCCGGGCAGTCTGTCCTAGGGGTGGCTTTTTTAATGACTATTTATTATGTGGCGGATGGTGGTGTACCTCTCGTGCTGGTCCCCTTCCTAAACATGCTCCATGGACTACATTAGTCTTGTGTGGAGCAGCATGGCTAGGGGGGCGGAGCCGCTGAGAGCACCCTCCTGACAGCGACGCAGGGCCCCAGGCTCCTCGCCCTCTCCTTCAGGGGGCATGAGGACGGGCGTCTCCCCCGTGGGCAGCTCCCCTCACTATAATCTTCGCCCAGCCCTGGCCAGTGTGGCTCAATGGATTGAGCACTGGCCTGCGAACCAAAGGGTTGCAGGTTCAAATCCCAGTCAAGGTACATGCCTAGGTTGTGGGCCAGGTACCCAGTAGGGGGCACACGAGGGGCAACCACACATTGTTTTCCCCTCCCTCCCTTTCTCTAATAATAAATAAAATCTCTTCTGTTTGTTTTCAATAAATAAATCTTGGCGTAGAAGTCTTGTGAGTCCTAGGGAACCTGAATGTGGGGTGGTCAGGGGCACCCACCTTCCCCGCGCACGTGTGGAGGAACTTGCCGATGGACACTCACCCGCCTGTCCGTGCTGGTCCCCTGCACCAGGAGCCCACTGGGGGGTCAGTTCCTCTCACTTCTCCTAAATTTTGGGTGTTTTAGGAAAAACACCCAAATTCTTCCAAATGTCGGTGTTTTTCCTAAATTGATTTGTGCTATCACAATCTAACTGCCCAAGGTCCATAATGTAAGTTCGTAATAGTAAGACAAAGCAACAGTATGCGTTCAATATTCCAAAACTGTTCACTTCCCCACAGCCTGGTGGCTAACTTCAGAGTGCCCCCAAGTAGATTTCCCCTTGTCTCCCACGCACGTCCAGGCCACCTGTGAGTTCTGCCACTGTACCCCCAGAATTTGTCCACAGCCCCCGCATGCTCCCCACCTCCACTCCTGCACCCTCCTCTCCACCTCCTTCCCGGACCGATCTTGGGATTCCAGCCTGATCCCCGCGTCCTGCCTGCGGGCCCTGGAGCGTCCTCCATGCGGCCGCCAGGGGGAGCCTCTAAAACCAAAATCGGATCATGCGCCGATACAGCAGGACTTCAACCTCTTGGGAGTTGGAACCCCTGCTTCCTTACACCTGTAAACCCCATGCACAGAGTTTCCTTTCTGTCTCTGCGACCAGAGCGCACCCCACACCCTCAGCCGCAGGGCCTTGGCGCCTGCCGTTTCCTGTTTCCGCAGACAGCACCCCGACAAAGTATCTCCAGCAGCTGCCCCCACAAACACACACACACACAGCCTCCCTCCCGCGGCCTCCATCTCTTCGCCCTTCGTCTCCACGACACTTACCGCTCCTTGCTTGTTGTTGGACTCAGCTGGAGTCTCAAGCCCAGGGGGGCAGGGACGCCTGGCCTGTCTTTCCAGAGAAACCAAGATCCTTGAACTCTCCCTGGGCACACGGTAGAGCACCAGTGCATGAACGTTACCTGGCATTGGTCACCTATGAGTCCCTGAGTAACTGCTTGGTGACACGAATAACTCGGAGTGTTAGTTTAAAAGTGCAGGTGGTCCCCTGCTGTATCTCTCTCCCCCCTTCCCAAAAAACCAGCTACTAACTTCGACTCGCCAGCAGAGGAACCGGGTGTGTCTGTGCTTGGGAAACCGGGACCTTTATTAGCGACGCCCTATCCCAGGGAGCTTTCTTCCCGGGCTCGCTGACGAGGAGCGTCTGGGTCCCCTTTCCTGCTAGGACCCCTACGAATAGCCTCGTGACTTGGGGGTAAAAGGTGGAGATGCCGGGGATTGAACCCGGGGCCTCATACATGCAAAGCATGCGCTCTACCACTGAGCTACATCCCCTGGCTCCAGCTGCTGCAGGACTATAGAAATTCACAGTTTGTCTCTGTTTGCACGCATTCCCTTCTGAATGCTCAGCGTCTTCGTCGATTCAAACGGTCTCTCTGCGCCCCGGTGAATGTCCGCCGATCAAGCTCTGCACCTGCCAAGGCCCAGCCTGGGACGAGCGGATGCCCCAGGAAGAGAACACCATATCTATATGGACCAACGTGGAAGACTGCAATCAGGGCTCATCCTCGTTAGTATAGTGGTGAGTATCCCCGCCTGTCACGCGGGAGACCGGGGTTCGATTCCCCGACGGGGAGGCTGCGCAAACCTTTTAAATGCTCGGAGATAGGCACGGCCTCGTGCGTGTCCCCTGCAATTGTACCTGCAAACGTTATGAAAAATTAGGGGACGCTTCCAGAAGATAGCCTTCCCCTCGGCCCTATTGAGTAAAGAAAACTGGGCACTGGACTGTGGGTCGACGGGGTTCCCCAGAAGGTACGTGATGTAGCAGGTATATCGAGTGTGTTTTCACACACGTGTTCCTGGTCAGTAGCTGACGATCATATGGGGCAATTACCATGGACTGGGCAGTGTTCGACAGCGCTTTATGGCCTTGTCAGTAGGCGTAACTTTATCACATTGGTCAGGTGATGAAATGCCAGCGCGTGCAACCTGCCCAAGGTCACGTAAATCATCGTCTACTCTGGACACTGGTCCCCTCTCGGGGGAAGGACGGGGCGACGGTGGGAGCGACTCCTTGACTTTCCATTCTTGTCTCTCTGGGCTGTTCAGCTTTGCTTTCCTGTCTCCCTCCCTGCTTTCTTTTCCTCGTTTTCCCTTCCCCATTTTCTTGCCGCCCTCCCTTCCCTTCGTTTCCTTCCTGTCTTTCTTATTCCATTTTCATCAGAATGACACACTCCATAGTTTTTAAAGATTTACGGTCCGTTCGTGAAGAGCAGCAGCAGGGGTCCCCTGTGGCTCCACCCTTGCTCCGCTCCTGGAAGAGTTCAGAATATGCCACTTCGCATATAGATCGTTTTGAATCGAAGGTCCTTGAAAAACAGTAAATGTAGGGAGAGGCTTTCGGTGAACTCCCCTTATCTGCCTAATGACAGGTCCTCAAAAGGAACTCAGCCGTCACCCATCCCCTCCCCAGGGATGACTTGTCACAGCACAGAGACCAGGAGTGGACGACACACCCAGACGAACTCTGTCACAGTCATACTTCCCACGTGCAGTTGGAAGAAAATCCAAACCCTTCACCTCGGAGGCTTGGCAACATCTGGCCTCTGCCCACGTCCTCGTCCTTGCCCTGCACCTTGTCCCTCCGACCCCCCACCCCCGCCCTCACCTCTTCCACGCAGACTCTCGGTTCCTTCCTCACTGACCTGGGTCCAGCCTCAGGGCCTTCCTTTGCACCAGCTGTCCCTTCTGCCTGAGAGCTTTTCCTGAGGTCTTCCCAGCTCCCCGCTTCCCTTACTGCGGCATCCTCCATATTCCATCCCATCCCTACGGTTTGTGTGTGGATGAGCCAGGCGCTGGCAAACACTTAGGAAATCGCTTCACACCAGGAAGGATCTTCCCACCCACACACACCCGTTTCCCAAAGGGAAGGGAGACAGGGAGCGCCGCACCTGGACGCCGACTTGTTGATCTCTTCGTGCCTAGACGCTGAGCAGGTGCCGCAGGTGGGGTGGCCCTGCGTGGAGGCCGGATGTGAGGCACTCACCGCCTCGAGGAAGGCCACATTCAGGCCTGTGCGTCATTCCCCGGGCCTTGGGATGGTCAGCGTCCCTGCCCGGCTCGGGCTGCCAAGGACAGCCTTGTTCACTTGCACAGAGACGTGAGTTTAGGAAACCCGAGCCCTGAGCCAGGTAGGATTCTTGCATTCGTTCGTTCGTTCGTTGATTAATTAATCAAATGTGTATTAAGCACTGTCCTAAACCCGGAGGCAGTCAGCAGTGACGCAGACAGATGACGTCCTTGCTTCTCCTAGGGTGGTCATTCTAGCCAGGAAGATGGAGTACGGACAAGGAAAACAAAACAATGCCTAAGCCAACAATAAACACTTAGGGGCTGGGGTCGTGTTGCAAGGCGTGACCAAGGGGAAGCTTCTCGAAGGCGGTGGCCTGGAAAGACGCGAGGGGGCATTACACACAGGTGCCGGGCAAACCCGGCAGGAGCGGATTGCAGTTGATTTTAGTTTCCTGGCGTCGGGTCTCCGGACGGATGACTCAGGGCTGTTAAGACAAGTAGGAGTGGAAGAAAAACCGGTTTTCGCAGCCGCCGAAATAGCTCAGTTGGGAGAGCGTTAGACTGAAGATCTAAAGGTCCCTGGTTCGATCCCGGGTTTCGGCAGCTCTCCTTTTCAACTCCGGAGGGGTGAAAATAAGTAAATAAGAGCACGGTTTGGTTTGTTTTTTTTTTTTTTTCCCATCTAGTAAAAGAGCTTTACTTTTTTTAAAACAACTCAGAGCGGTATCCACCGGGAGCCAGAGGGGATGGGGTCTTCCTCGAGGCTCCCATCTGCGGAAATCCAACAAGGACAAGAGGTTCCGCGACTCCATTTCTGTTTTGTGATGAATCTGTTTCATGTTTGTTGCTTGTTCGTTAATTTTTGCTTTCTATTTATTGATGTCTGCGCTCTGAACGCTCGCTTCTAAATCATGAACCGAGCAGGAAACGGCCTCTTCAAGATGGAACTAGATGGGACTTCTCGTTGTTTAGCGCTCTAGTAGGAAAAAATAAATCGGGTAAATCTTCGGGTATATGCCTTAAAGGAAAGGCTTTCAAAAAGACATGTGCAAAGCCAAGAGGTGGAGATGCCGGGGATTGAACCCGGGGCCTCATACATGCAAAGCATGCGCTCTACCACTGAGCTACATCCCCCGCCTCTGGGGGCCCGCGGAGGCAGGAAGTCGCGCCCTTTCTCCGCTTGCGCGTTTCTCCGTTTCTGGGGATTCAGCGCCGCCGCAGACTCAAGCAGGTCTCCCCGCGCCCCAGGGAAGTCGGCCGCTCGACCCGCGCCTGCGAAGGCCCGCGGAGGCCACCGGCGCCGGATCCGGAAAGCACTGTTTCCATATGGACGGATGAGGAGGTCACCCTGCAGGGCTCATCCTCGTTAGTATAGTGGTGAGTATCCCCGCCTGTCACGCGGGAGACCGGGGTTCGATTCCCCGACGGGGAGGCCTCATAACTATTTTATCCTTTCCTTGTACTTTTGCATCTCTCTCAAAAACAAATTAAATGTTTTTTTCCGTTCAATTTTATTTTGTACAAATCAAGTTCTTTGACTTTCATAGACATTTCCTTTCTCTGGAAGAGTAAACCTGCCAGCCAAGCGACATTCGCCAGG